CAAAGAGCTCAGAGGGGCGGGGGACCCGGACGGGGGGCCAGCCCGACCCACGGAGGCCCCAACAGCCCCCAAAGACCCCAGAGGGGCGGGGGACCCAGAAGGGAGCCAGCCAGGCCTCCAGAGGCTACAGGGTGCCTAGCATTAAGTTGGGGGAGAAGCCATCCTGAGATTCCATGAAGTTCCAGAACAAGCTCAACCATCTCTGCTGATGGAAATCCCACCAGGGGGTGGCAGTGAGTCTGGCCACCGAGATGTGCGGCCCCCCACCAGTGCCCTACCCGCCCCTGCCAGGCAGAGCACCTCGCCTCGGGAGTCCCCGTCCTCTGACTCTGAGGACGACTCCTGGACGCTGGAGGCGGGACGGGAACGGCCGTGCCAGGGGGATGCAGACGGCGTCTTGGATTCCTCATCGCTGTCACCTCCAGGCACCTGCAGCTTGGCTGGTGGACACAATACACATGATACCCAGGAAGGGCCTGTGCCCCTGTCCCCTTCCCATGGGTGCCCAGGGTGTGGACAAAGGAGAGCCCCGCCTTCACGCTGCGGCCACAGAGCCCTCACCCTGTGTGATCTTGGCCGACACGATCTCGGTGATCTGGGACGTGAGCTTCTGCAGGAACTCCTCCGTGCCCACCTCGGCCAGGGACATGTGGCCACGGGCCTCCACCACCGTGGGCTCTGCTGGGGGCCAGAACGTAGTTCAGCCGGTCCCGTGCCCCACAGACACGCCCCAGCACCCCCTCCAGGCCCCATCCTGGGCTCGGGGGTCTGCAGTGCTGAGGAAGGCACGAACTTGACACCATCACTGCGGGAAACTTGGCAGGGTCGGGTTAAGGGTTCATGAGGGCTGCCTGGTGAGCGGGGGTCAGCTGAGAAGTGACCCCAAAGGTGGGCAACCAACAGGCGGAGCACATGGCCCCCTCTTCTCGCCTTCTGAAGTTACAAATACCCCAGGGTGCGGGGAGGCCCTGTGTAGGTGGCAGACCCCGCTGGGGACCGGGGAGAATCCAGGGCGGATGAGGTCTCCATGGTGGCATGCCCAGCCCCTGCCCCCCCACACTGCGCTCACCCAGCCCTCAGCGGCCACCTGCGTCTGGGCCGGGCATCCGTGAGCTCTGAGCCAAGGGCTGGCGGGGCCCCCAGATCCACAAGGCTCAGAACCAGGCCCAGGGGAGGACAAGCAGCCATTTCTGGGGCCACACAGCCTGGGACAGCCCCTCCACGCCTCATCCCTGCACTAGGGCTTGTCGGTCCCCTCCCTGCGAGGTCGTGCTCCCACCAGCCCATACCTTTCCTCGGTCCGGCAAGATCAGCGAACCCCACAGGCTCTGACATCTGTGTGGATGCAGCTTGGGTCCTAAAGGGGAGTGGTGTCCCGAGAGAGTGCCTCAGCCAGGGCCCTCATTTCACAGTGGGGACACTGAGGCACGGAGAGCCGGCTCCCCCGCACTCACCCCTGCAGGAAGCTGGAGATGAGGACCTCCTTCCCCCCAGCATGCTCGTCCGCCGCCCCCGCCTCCTTGGGCACTGTTAGGAGAACGGGGTGAGCCACCAGGGTGACAGCCCACAGCCCTGAGCCACTTCTGCTTGGGACCTGGTCCAGGATGTCCCGGCCCCCAAGGGACCTTGACCCTGGCCCTCGGGAGCCTCCCGATGGAGTGGGGCCCAGGAAGGACACACTCGGGGTGGCAGGGGGCCTCTAGGAGGGTCTCAGCCGGCTGAGCCAGCCTGCAGGACAGGGGATGGCAGCTGGCGGGGGCTGTGTTTGGGGTCCCCCCAGCTCCGGCGGGGCTCCGACTCACAGCCAGAGACGTGCAGGCTGGCGGAGCAGAGGGCCTGGCCGGCCGCGTTGGTAGCAATGCAGGTGTAGGTGCCCCGATGCTGCCGGCCCACGTCCAGCAGGACCAGACTGTGTTGCTGGGCAGAGCTGGCCACCGTGTAGCCCGGCGTGTCACGGCCGATCCACAGCACGCCCCGCTCGGCCTCCTCCTGCAGCCAGTGCACGGCTGGGGCCGGGCAGCCTGCGGGACAGTCGAGGGTCCATGGGGAAGGGGGCTCCGGGAACTGGGGTGGCCTCTGAGCCCCCTGCGGGGCTGTGAGTGGACACAGGGAGGCGGGGCTGAGGGGCGGGGACTCGGGTTAGGGACTCAGGGAGGCGGGGCTGAGGGGCGGGGACTGGGGGAGGGACTCAGGAAGGAGGGGAGGGAGGCGGGGCTGAGGGGCGGGGACTCGGGTTAGGGACTCAGGGAGGCGGGGCTGACAGGCGGGGACTGGGGGAGGGACTCAGGAAGGAGGGGCTGAGGGCGGGGACCCGGGAGGCGGGACTGAGGGGCGGGGACTAGGGGCGGGGCAGCGGCTCCTGGGGCTGGGTTTCTGGACCATACCTTCCAATTTCCTCCTTGACCTCGTAGAAAGAGCGCAGTTTCCTTCGATAGCTTTGCTTCGCTGAGTCCGGCTCGCTGTCTCCTGCAGTCAAGGAGCGGGAAGCCCTCGGTGTGGGTAAAGATGTCCATTTCCCCCAAGTGTAGCATCCTTGTGCTGGAGCCTGTGAGAGGCCACAGACCCCACCCCGTGCCCTCAAGAAGCAGACACTCGGGTTCTAGGAGGGATCCCCCGACTCACCCCCGTGGACTATGAGCTCCGCTTTACACATCACCTGGCCGCCTGCGTTGCGGGCCAGGCATGTGTAGACACCAGCGTCGTGCTGGGTCACATCGCTCAGCACCAGGGAGTAGGTGGTCCCCTCCTGCTGCTGGCTGAGCCGGGCGCCATCCACCAGCTGGGCATCGTCCTGGGGGCACAGGCGGGTGGGGCCACCATCAGCCCAACCTGGAGACCCCTGCAAGGCAGGCTGTCCCGGCCTCCAGTGAGCGGCTTGCTGTCGGGTGGGAATGCCACACACTCCCCAAGCCCGGCCCCCCACACAGCGCCTGTCCATACCCGGTACCAGGTCACCATGGGCTGCGGGTTGCCCTCAATGACCGCCTGGAACTGGGCTGTGCTGCCCTTCTGTGCCTGCACATCTTCGATGGTGACCTGCATGGACGGGGGCCCTGGGGTGCAGGACCGAGCCTGTGAGGGGGGGCCCAGGCTGTGCCGCCCACCCTGCCCACCACAGCCCCTCCAGCATGGACTCGTCAAGCTGGGGCTTGCAGTCAGAGAACCCCTGGCGGACCAGCATTGACCCTGGGCCTGTCTTGACACCCCAGGTGGGCAGCCAGGCCCTGAGATACTCCCCAGGGGCACTGGCCTCCCCAAATGAGGACAATCCCCTCCTGACTCTGCCCAGGCCCCTGATGGCCAGTAAGTGTTTCCTTCCATCTAACCTCTGTCTGTCCTGCTTAGACGTTAGCTGTCCAAGGGCAGGGCATGCAGAGTGTGCTAACACCTGCTGGGTAAAGGAGCGCCCAACATCCCATTCAGTCCTGTCAGCACCCCCAGTGAGAGAGATCTCACCTGTCCCAGGGATGGCCCTCTTAGGGAATGCAGGGAAGTGGGCAGTGAGGCCCCTGGCCACAGCAAGGCCAGGACAGGCCAGGTGGCTTTGCAGTTTCCTCTGCACGAGTGCCCCCCACCCCCAGTCCAGGGCATGGGGAGCACACGTGTAACCTACTTGAGGCAGCTGTGCTGCTGGCCTGGTACACGTATGTCCTTTGGGTGGTCTCCGTGAACACTTGGCTGTGGACGTCCCACAGCTCCACTGTGCCTGCCCCCGGCCAGGCTGTGCCCTCCATCCTGTGGTCATGGAGCTGGATGAGCCGTCTGCCCGTCTCCTACACTTCTGGAGTGCGGGCGGCCAAGCCTCACCATAAGATGGGGGTGCGTGCCTCCCCCTCCCTGGACGGCAGCAGATGTTTTGGGAGGGGATGTACAGAGAGGGGACCCAGCCCTGGGCAATGAGAGGGCTCCACCAACACCCCTCACCCTGAGGGCGGCCTCTCCTCCGTGCTCTGCCCCTGGGATGTCCCTCTCATGAACTGCCCCCACCCAGCATGCCAGGGAGGTTACCGGATGGGCACGATGCGTCCCTGGCCCTCGGCATGGGCCCCTGAGTCCTGCTCCTGGCCCTCCTGGGGGAGAGGCTGTGGCACTTTCTGGGGCTCAACTGGTAGGAGACAAGGGGCCTAGTGAGACATTGGGATGGAGCTGGGACTGTCCTCCACAATGTGCCCCCATGTCGTCCTCCAGGCCCAGAGGGTGGGATCACAAGACAGAGCCGGGACTCCAGGGGTGCAGGGCCGTATGGGTAAGAACGGACAGGGAACACCCACCCCTGAAACCCAGGGCTCCCGACCTCCCTACAGAGCCCAGAGCCCTGCCCTAGCTCCTAGCCTGGGCCACCAGCCCTGAGGGCCCCAGCAGGTGCAGCAGCTTCTGGGGGGAGGGGCCTCAAGGCATATCCCTGGGGGTCTCATCTCTCTGGGGTGGCGGAGGGGGTCTACCCCTCCCTCTCCTCCCTCTCTTCGCCCTCCTCCCTCTTCCCTCTCCTACTTCTCCTTCCCTCCTCCCTCTTCTCCCCCCTCCTCCTCCCTCCTCCTTCTCCTCCTCACTTACCCAGGAGTATAGGTTCCCCAGGCTTTCTGCCCAGGACTGACCACCAAAGTCTCTGGCTCCCAGGACAAATGTACTGGGGAAGAACCTCCCAGCACCCACTCCCCTGCCTAGTTTCATAGATGGGGAGACTGAGGCTGAGTGCATGGAGCCATTGGAATGTCACGGTCCCTAGGGCTCTGCCCATTCGCCCACACAGGATGGATACCTGGGGTGGCCAAGCTTGGGGCCAGCACAGGGGGGACTCTGAGAGCAGGTGGCACTGGGTGGTCAGCCTGAGGTCGCTGGGCCTCACCAGATGCATCTGCATCTTCCATGCCTGGGAGTTGGGGGCCAGCGTCCTGGAGTTTGGGTGGCCCCCCAGGGCCAGTGCTGGGGCCAGCGTGGGCCCCCGTGGAGGGTCCTGGAGCCTTGGTGCACACCGTGACCTCCTGGTCTGCCGGCTCCAGGGCAACTGCGGGATGGACAGCAGCATCTGTGAGAGAGGCAGGTCAGTGTGTAGGGGTGAAAGGTGGCCTGGGCCCCAGAAGAAGGCTCCAGAAACCTAGTCACAGGCCTCAGAGGCCCATGTGTGGGCTCTCTGCCCCCAGCTCCCATAACGTTTTCCTCTTCTACCTAGAAGTAACTTGGTAGAGCCACCCCATAGCCTCACACATGCCCAGGGATGCCCACCACTCCATTCCCAGCAGTGCCCTTCCCACCTGCCTGCCCCACCCACCCACTCAAGGCAGTGAACTCAGGGCCTTCAGGAGCATGCGGGCTCCTCTGGGGACAGGTGGGCATGGATACCTACCCTCTGTCCTGGTCTGTCCTCAGTCTCAGGTCATCCCACCCCTTCACCCTGGGACTGGCTTCCCCCCACCCCATGGCCCACTCCAGACCCCAAGGTACTGGGCCACCCAGGCCAGGGTGGACCCAGCCCCACACTCTAGGGAGGCCTGGGGACAGCCTGATGCTGTCAGGGACCAGGGGCTCCTTCCTGCCCACCCAGGCCACCGCACCCTCACTGGCTCCTACCCCAGCTTCCCACACAGCCCCCAAGGGAACCCTCCAACTACCCCATGTGTGGGCTCTCTGCCCCCAGCTCCCAGGACGTTTTCCTCTTCTACCTAGAGGTAACTTGGTAGAGCCACCCCACAGCCTCACACATGCCCAGGGATGCCCACCACTCCATTCCCAGCAGGTGCCCCTGCCTGGAGCTCTCCCCTGCCCCAGACCCTCTCTCTTGCCGATCTTCTGTATCCTCGGGCCCTCCAGAACAGAGAGACAACTGGGCAGTGTGCTGTCTGTTTGCCCTCTATGACACTGGGGAACCCATCCTGTCCTTACCCAGTCCAAAGACATCAGCACACCTCTGATGCAAACACCCTCTGTGTCAATCTCGCCAACAGCCCCCATTGCACAGCAGGCTGGGAACGACCACTATGGGCCATCCTGATCCCAGTATATGCACCTGTGACCAGCCACACAGCCCATGTGAGCAAGCTAAACCTGTGAGCTCTCACGCCTCCATCCAGGGAAACCAAGAATGGGCCAGAACCCACAGGCTAATGCCAGGTGCCGACCCAGGGTCCTCCCCCACAAGACGCCGGAGCCACCAGACAGAGAGGCAAGGGAGCAGAACAGAAGCAGTGCAGAGAACCAGTTTATTATCACTGGGGGTCACTGATGGGCCACTTCCCATGCACAGACCCTGGTTCACCCTGCAGAGAGGCCCAAGAGTTCCTGCAGGGCTAGGCCCTGCACAGACCTCCAGGAGGCCAAGAGAAATGTTCATAGTGAAGATGTAGCTGGGGAGCCCCCCAGTGAGAGAAAGACTGGGACCCCAGCCCGGAGCAGGCAGGGCCCATCTGGCAGCCTGGCCTCATGAACGTGGCAGGACAGATGCAGAGTCCCTGACCTGCATCTAGAGACCTGAGCCCAGAGCTGCAGTCTGTGAGTCCCTCCGGCCTTCTGTAGTTTCTGAGACGCCAGGTCTGGGCACAGTGCCTTCAGCCGGACCAGGCCCCATGAGGTAGCAAGTGCCTGGGGACAGAGGGGCGAGCAGGCTCCAGCCCTGAGTTCTTGGAGAGTTAGAGAGAGGGTCAGAGCACACATGTGTCCATGGAGCGCTGGTTTCCTCCATGAAGCCACAGGGCCCGGCAGCCAGGCACCTGCTGCTCACAGCCTTAGCCCTGGGAGGGGCCAGGGGCCTTGTCCCCATCCGGGCAGATGTGCAGGGTGACGGTCTCACCCACCGTCCCAAAGCTGACCGTCTGGGTGTTAACCTCCGTTTTGAAGCTGCTCTGGCCACTGTCTGCAGACCTCTGGACCTGGATGCAGAAGGACGGCTTCCAGGACGCAGCACCCCCAGCCCGGGCTTCCTGCATACAGAAGGAGACTCCTGCGGGGCCGAGGACCTGAGGGCCCAAGGGAGACGCCTCCCGGCGACTGAAAAAGCTAGGTGGGTTCCGAGGGCCCAGGGGACGCCCCACATTGAGCAGGACAGGCTGCCCCACCATGGGCTCATTGATCTCTCTCTGGAGCACAGAGACCTCGCAGGGTGGGTCGTCAGAAGTGCTGGGCACAGGGCCATGGCAGCCGAAGGTCTCCCCCTCCCGGGGCACGTAATCCTCCAGATCAGCCAGCGTCAGCACTCGGCCATCATGTGTGAGGATCTTGGGGTCATGGCCCCAAAGGCTGTTGGTGCCCAGGGGCTCCTCCGTCAGGAGGGCATCTCCTCCCTCCACCTCCTCCACCTCCTCCATGGGGGTTTCCTCTTCAGCCCCCTGGGGAGGGAACGGCTCACAGGTCTCCTCTGGCCCCGTGTCCATGCAGAAGATGAGAGGCTCTCCAGTGCTGACCAGTGCCCTGCCCTGGGCCTGGGGCTCCTGGGCCAGTAGGTTGTTGTTGGAGTTGTTTGCATTGGGGTCTCCTATGGGGGTCCCACCAGGCAGCGTGAAGAGAAGCCCTGCAGAGCTGTCAGGTGCCTCTCCGGCAGGGGATGCACCCCTGGAGCCCGTCTTCTCCACCCTGACTTCAATGGTCTCCTCAACCTCTACCCACTTGGGCTGGGGCCTTGTGCCCTGGGGCAGGCCCGGCGTGTGGGACTCGGGCTCCGTCACATACAGCGTGGGTACAGTAGGTCTCCAGCCTGGCTCCACCTCAGGCCTGTGGGGCTGGCTGGCCCCCAGTGAGTACAGCACCTCAGGGGCCAACTGGCCTGGCCTGGGCGGGCTGGCAGTGCGGCGGGAAGGCGAGCGGGAGGGGGACTTGTTCGGGGACCGGCGCCGGCCACGAGGGCTCTTCACCACGGTGGTGATGGTCTCCTCTCTGCAGGGAGAGGGCCAAGAGGAAATGTGCACAGAGACCTGTACTCTTGCCCGCTGCCCGCGCCATCAGCACATGCGGGGGCCACGTGAGTGATCAGGTTAGTGTAGCGAGCAATTGGTGACACTGCATAAACAAATTCCTACATGTGTGCTTGAGCCCGCCCTCTGAAACCTCTAGCCAGAGAACCAATGGAACAAAGCACAAAGCCTCATCTGGCCAACTCAGGCTCTAGCACACAGATCTCAAAACAAGAGTTGAGGCAACAGGGGAGGCCCACGCCTCATCACAGTGCACCTCCAAACCCAAGACCAAGTCTGGTTCACAATGTCTCCACGTGTGTCTCTTCTCCGTTTATGGCCACCTTCTTTTGGAGACGCCAATGCTCGTTGCAGAGCTAATGGACAAGGATGCAGGGACACAGCCATGTGGCCTTCCTTGTCTATCCCATGAGTGCTTTGTGCTTTGTATCATGGGGGATGACCCCAGTGAGCTCTCAGAGGGCAGGAGCCTCAATGGTCCTCAGCTGGAGATAGGTTGGCAGCTGATGCTAGGTCCAGGAGGGTTGTCAGAGTGCTGATCTGCTGCCTGTGCTCCTGATCTGTTCATCTGGGGGCGTGAAGCCCAGCAAGAACACCCGGCTCTGAGCGTGGCTTGGCCGTCATGGGCTGTGTGACATCAGACAAGCACTTCCTCTTCCTGGGCCCCTTCCGCCTAAATGGGAGTGGGCAGGAAGGAAAGAGGAGGCAGAACGCAAGGCCAGTTGCATGTGAGTAAACATCAGGTACTGGCCAGGGACTTTGCAGCAGCCCTGGGGGATGGGTCTGACCTCCTTTTGCAAGTGTGGACCACGAGGCTGAGAAGGCTGCACACATGCCCAGGGCCATGATTCAGAAGTCCACCAGTCACCCCCAGGACCCCCTGCCACCCTGTGCCCCTGACCTTGGTGGGTGCTGGGGGTACAATGAGTATCAGGCAGTATCAGGGAGCAGGGATGTGCTAAACACACAGACCCTGGGGAACTCACAACTCTCCTGGGCCCTGGGACCTGCATTTTCTCTTGGGCTCAGGCACGCATGTGGTGACAGCTCAATGCTGTCGTCACCTGCCTGCTATGACTAAGGCAGGCTCGTGCTCTCTCTCTCTCTCCCTCTCATTCAGCTTTTATCCAACTTAGGGCTCCACCCAGGAGCATATACTTCCATGGATGGGCCCAGAAATGTGTGCTACAGCACAGCAATTATAGGCCCTGCCTCCTCAGCCCTCAGCAGGTAAGAAGGAAATACTACACCCCACTCAACTGACGGGGGAACTGAGGCTTGTGAGGCGTGGCCTAATAAAAAATCACAGGACTGCCTTCCTGCCTCATGCCCAGGCTCGGGAGCACTAGGCTTGTCCCTGGGTCGGAACTTGCTCAAACATCATGGGAACTTGGGCCAGGCCCATCTGCTGGCCTCATGCCTCTTCAGTTCGCCAAGGCAGGACAGTCAGTCATGTGGGTACTGGGGTCATGCCTCCTAAATGCCTCCCTGTGTTGAGCTCATTACTGCCCCCATGAAGGCATGTGGGCATCCTGCACTGGGGCTCCCAGGACAGCAGGTGGGACTGCCAGGTGGTAGGGGTCTCTCTCCAAGCCCTTTTTCCTCCCCGTGTACCCTGAGTCCCCACTCTGTGGTGTGCCCTTGGGAGAAATGCCTGGCACAATTCCTCCAGCTGAGTTCCTCCAGCAACACAGGGTGTGTGTTGCTACCTCCCTAAGCCTGGAATAGATTGGACTTCAGGATGCCCCTTGAGTCCCCTAGTCCGGCTGCCCCAGGTGCGAGTCCTCTCTGAAGTCTTACTGATGAGGCAGCCTGGCCCTGTCTCTGTTTCTCCATTTTGTCATCTGTAAGATGTAAATAATAGAAATGCTCCCTTCATAGACGAAATGTAGAGTTAATCTGTGTATAGCTCTGGCACAACTGCATGCCTCCAGGGATGCTTACTACTGCCCCATGTACTGCCCTATGTGGGCAGCAATGTGCCTTGGGGGAGGACGGAGGAAATTGAGGAAGGGTTAATCCAGGATCTGACCAAATGTCTGGCGATAGGATTCTCCAAAACTTGGCCAACTGCGGGCCCCTTTAGGAGGTCATAGGCCCATGAGGAACCAACAGGAGCTTCCCAGTCATCTGGTCTTAGACCAGTCTTTCTTGCCTCCTGGCTTCCACAAACTTTTACACAATCTCCGCCTGCAGACACCTCCTACTGGATCATCCAGGTGAAAACCAACTCTGCCTTCTGTGGGCTTACTCAGCTCCAGACCTCTTGTGTTATTATTATTATTTTTTAAAGATTTTATTTATTTATTTGAGACAGAGAGAATGAGATACAGAGAGCATGAGAGGGAGGAGGGTCAGAGGGAGAAGCAGACTCCCTGCCGAGCAGGGAGCCCGATGCAGGACTCGATCCCGGGACTCCAGGATCATGACCTGAGCCGAAGGCAGTTGCTTAACCAACTGAGCCACCCAGGCGCCCCCTCTTGTGTTATTTAATTAGCAACAACCCCAGCCTTGAAGGCACCTAATAAAAAGGGGACAATGGGCGTGGCACCGGGGAAATGGGTTACCTGCTGGCTTTCAATCATGAACCGTCCTGCACACATTTTAAATACTCAGTAGCCACTTGTGGCTAGTGGCTGTTCTTGTAGTGGGCATCATAAAGATAGAATATTTCCAACATGACAGAAAGCTCTGTTGGACAAAAATGCCCTAGATCCTAGGGTTTGAGGGATAGAATATTCCCTCTAGCCCACTGTGGGAAGCAGCTCTTGGTCCCAGCTCCAAATTAACTGATGTGATTCTGGGTCCAAGCCCTGAGTGAGCTGCTGTGAAGTATGCAGAGTAAGTCTACCCTGTGGAGGCACTGGAGTATAGAGGCCCTGGAAGAGAGAGCTGTGAAGTGTGAAGGTAGCCAAGGCCCCAGGGGAAGGTTGGTCCCCTCGGTGGCATCTGCAAAGTCCTGGCAGTCTGCATGGTGAGCAAAGGCCATGTGGGCAGGCAGTTAAGACAAGCAGGTGGACAGGCCACACGGACAAGGTCCACGTGGGTTAGTGGGCATGCAGGGGGCACTGCAGTCAGGAGGAAGTTTAGGAACACGCCTGCACTTACATGATGACGGTTTTCTTGGGGACTTTAGTCTCCTGCTCAGTGACTACAAAGAAAACAGTCGGAATAGCGAGGGTTACAGATCAGCCAGCGCTCGGGTGCTGAGCCATTTGAGTGGCATGGCAGTATAGTAACCTGCTCGGCTTCAGAGCTCTGTATCCAAGCCCTGCCTGATCTGCCTGTCTCACGTTGGAGCCTCAGTTCTGTCATCTTTAACACGGAGATGACAGTGCCTGCTCTGAGTGGCTGGGGGATGAGCAAGTGCGACCTCAGTGTGTCCCATATGAGGAAATGAGGGTCTTGCAGTGACTGCAGCAAGAGTAGGGGCCCCGTCTAGGCTGCCCATGCAGCAATCCCAGCTCCTTCTTCAGCCCATGTGCCCAGGGAGCCCTGTGAATTTGTCAAACCTGAGGTCCCACTTCTCAGACAGAAACTGAAGGCTAGGGGTGGGGGGAAGGAAAGGCTCATGTGAACCAAACTGGGACTGGGATGGCTGGTGCCTATTGTATAAAAAATCCTAAAGACTAAAGGCATCTCTCCAGGGGAAAGGGACAGTGGAGTCCTAGAGATGGCACATCTGAGCTCTGTACCACGAGGCCATGGAAATCCCATCAGGAGCAACCAGAGACACCTGGACAGGGTCCTGAGCTCCAAATGAGCAGGGAAACCTAGGTCTCTCCATAGAAGCTCCCCATAAACTCAACTGCCTTGATTGCCCTAGCTTTCCATCTCCTTGGAGTCAACAGATGGAGGACTTGAGTCCCAGAGACAGGACAGGACTCGTCTGGGACCAGGCAGCACCTGTTCTCACCCATCCTGAGGCCTCTTCCTCTATAGCTTCTGGGCAGGGCCAGGCTTACCATTGAGATGCCCCTCTCAGCCACATCTTGCTGCACAACAGGCAGTCCAGCACATACCAGTACCCTCAGATCTCAACAGTCCCTCTTGCCATCCTGGGGACAAAGCTGAGTGGGATGCTCAGAAAAGTCAGGAGGCAAGGCCTGCAGCACACACCACTCTGGCTTCCGGTGTGTGGGTTTTAGGCTTTGCTGCAGTGCCATATAGAGAAAGGATTTCCCTTAGATAACCAAGAGTATTTTAACCTTGTCTCTGATTGGGTGCATGTAAATTAAAGGTACCAGCTGTGTCTGTATGGCCCTTGAGAGCCTCCTTTGTGTATGTGTGTGCATGTATGCATGTATGTGCACACACATATGCATGTATGTGCATGTGTGTGTTTGTGTCCGCTGCCTCCTGGAGAGGGTAGACCCCTGGGAGAGAGAATGGGAGCCAGCCAAAAGGCCTTGTGTGTTTGGGTTAAGTTGGGTCCAGAGCGAGCCAGCCTGTTTGCCGCCTGCAGTCCACATCCTGCATGCAGAGTAGTGGGAAAGCCCAGAGCTCCTTCCCTCACCCTCCCCTGATTGGAGTCCTGTCCTGCTGCTCTGAAGAGTGGTGGTCAGGGAATGTCTTGGCTGCTACATTCCTGGTGCCTTTGTTCCTGACCTGACCTGCCACCTGACGGGCTCTAAGCCCTGGTGAATACTGGCAGCCATCAGAGGGGTGCAGCCATGCGAAGCAGGGCTCCTGGCCCAGTGCAGTTCCAAAAGCGAGGGGGCAGCACCCACCCCACAAGGCCGGCTGGGGCTGTTCTGGCTGTGGAGCCACCAGGTTAAAGATGAAGCGGCAGGATAGGGTTAGGAAGCAGGAGGCGGCGGGCTCCAACTCCTGGGTCTGTGAGGACTGGCTTTCTTGGATGTGAGGTGCCATGTTCCTGGTTTCAGAAGGCTGCCCTTCTTCCAGACTTCACAGCCATGACACGTTGACAGAAAGTGACCCATCATGACAATGAAATGAATGCCTCTGTAGGACACGCTTGTCTCCAGCCCAAGAAGGAGTGCTGAAGTCCTTGCTCAGCACCTCCCCAACATAAGACGCCATATGGCAGGAAGTGCAGGTGCCTGCAGACACCACAGGGCCCTCTGGGGGGGGGCAGGAACATGGACCCCTGCCCACTCTGTGATGGCTGTGGAAGGCATCAAGGCTGTGAGGTCGAGCTCCAGATGCCAAGCAGGCTGACTCTGGGAGGGTCCAGACAGATAGAGGCCCCTGGACGTTGGGCCCCATCCAGGATGGACGGGATCCATTAGCCCAAGGCGTCACAGAAGCCAACACTCAGGACTTGGGAGGACATGTATTCCAACCCGACCTACTGTGAGAGCTACAGCTCCACCAGGTGTTGATCCAGCCTCTGCCTGCATACCTCTAGGGACAGGAGGCTCATCAACTGACAAGGTAGCCCCTTCTAGGTGGGGCAACCCAGACTGGAAGAAGCTGTCCCTGGACCTGCAGCCTGCCCTGCAGGCACCATAAGCCTGCTCTCTGAGCAGGCCCAGGACAGATGCCAGCTTCCTCCCTTCCCATCCTGGCCATTCTTAGGCTGTGCACAGCTGGAACCGTGGACGCAGATGTGAGTAGAGGCATGAGATATCCTACTGCCCACCCTTCACCTCCCACCCAGGTGGACATCCCCCCTTGGTGAGACCCATCCCAGGACCCCAGACACCACCCCAGGCCAGGCTAGGGAGGCAAAGCCACGGCATTCTGACTTTTCCATGAACAGCTCAACCCAGTGTGGAGGTACCAGGTCCCTGGCATCACTCCCTCTCCTGGGAGCCAAGGTGGGACCCAGCAGCTGGTGCTCTGCACTCAGCATGCCTCCCACAGAGCTGTCCTCCCCAACGTTCCTGCTGCCTATTACGACGTCTTGCTGGCCACTACCCAGCAGCCTACTGGGCCCAGGCCTTGCCTCTCTACATACTCATTACTGCCCCAGAAATGGTAAGCAAGATGCAGGACCCCAGGGCTGCCCTCCAGCCTTGCCAAAGCTCTGGGCTCAAGGCTCACCTCACGCTGCCCCAGTAGGGGACTGGGAACCAGCCCCTGACCCATGGCCCCTGCATCTCCATCTCTCCCAGCCAGACCCCTTCCTCAGCCCTCACTGCCCCTCCTCCAGGAAGCACACCCTGACTGGAAAGGCTGCTGGTTTCCCCCCAACCTGGCCCCACAGTAGCACTTACCTTCCATGGCTGCAAGCTGCTCCCTGTGAAGCTGTTCCCGGGCCCGCACAGCAGGGCTCTGCATGCACAGCTCTGCCCCGCCCCTCGCAGAGCCCAGCCGGTTCACCAACTGCAGGGCGGATGGCAGAGCCCGCTTAGAGCCAGTGGCTCCCTTGGGACCATCGAGGCCATCTTTAACATGGAGGGCCCTCCCTGGCTGTGTCCCAGAGCCACAGAGCCCACCACAGAAGAAAGGTGCCCACACAGACCCAGCACAGCCCAGGGGTTTCCTAGCTTGTGGGGGGGGACACCATCTGCACAGTTCAGTGTGGTGGCCATGTGGGCCCCGAACACTGAGAACAGAACCAAATTCTTATCTAGAGTTAAATAACTGATTTCAACTCAAATTGCACGTGTGGCTAGTAGTAACAGAATCAGACAGTGTGGGTCCAGAGCTAACTCTGGTGTGTGTGCCTCCCCAGGAGCTGCCGGGGTGGCAGGCCCCACCTAGCCCAACCCAGGGTACCAGCAGCAACCACACAGAGGAGGCTGGCAGCCAGGAAGAGCCACAGCCTACACAACACCTTCCGCAGACCACCACCGGCCCTGCAGGTGGACAGGTGGCTTTGGTACAGAGGATGCCACACAGAGCTCCCACCCAGGTCCCTGTCCTTGCCATAGACACTGGGTGATGGGCTGGGGGTCCCAACCTCATTACGGGGATACTGGATGATGGTGGGCCAGGGGTCCCTCCTTCACTGGGGACACTGGGAGATGGTAGGTCTGGGGTCCCTCCTTCATCAGGGAGCCTGGATGATGGTTGGTCTGGGGACCCTCCTTCATCAGGGAGCCTGGGTGATGGTCTGGGGTTCCTCCCTCATCAGGGACACTGGGTGATGGTAGGTCTGGGGTGCCTCCCTCATCAGGGACACTGGGTGATGGTGGGCCAGGTGTCCCCTCCCTCATCATGGTTCAGGGACACTGGGTGATGGTGGGCCAG